TGCAATCCTCTGTCTGCATCTGTTTTTTCCCCTAACTCCAGTCCGAGCTCTGATACTGAGCCAGAGCCTTCCCCACGTCTTGCTCCTCTCATCCCAGGTGGCATTGACCCCATCCTGCGGGGCCTCATGGCCACCCCTGCCAAGCTGAATCGCCAGAACCAGATTGTGGTGGACGAGATCAGGGAACGGCTGTTTGAGCAGGTCATGAGGATTGGGCTGGACCTGCCTGCTCTGAACATGCAGCGCAGCCGGGACCACGGCCTCCCAGGTGAGGGGCTGCAGGAGCCCCCTGCTCCATCCCACCTCCCACTCTAGAGCCCTGCCCTCTGCAGTGCCCCCACCTGCCCAAGTGGGCTGGAAACCTGTCTCCCTCACATTTCATTTTCCGTCGTTTTACATGCACTTTGAGGGAAAGAGATTATTATCATTTCCATTTTACAGATGAGCAAACTGAAGCTTGAAGAGATTCAGAACCTGCCCAGGTTCTTCTCCAGCTAAGTCAGGGATAGAGCTTGAATTTGAACCCAGATCAGCCTAACCCCAAAGTCTATGCCTACATTATGGGACAGCTGGTGTGGCTGAACCTTCCAACACACTTCACCCCTCATGGGTCTGTGAGCTTCAGAGGGGGGGCAATGAGATGTTCCTATTCTTGGATGCTGTAGGAGTTTTGGTGGTTGGGAGGGCAAAGGAAACAGAGAGGGTCTTGGCCCTTCATTTCAGGGTTCCCTGGGGGCTTACAGCCTGGGAGAAGCCCCTGTGTGTCCTCCTCTCTCTCCTGTCCTTCAGTATATGGTAGACAGCCATGGTGTGTTGGGGAGCTGGGCTTTCTGAGACCCACCCACAGCCACTGCTGCCTCTCCTTGGCAGGGTACAATGCCTGGAGGCGCTTCTGCGGCCTCCCTCAGCCCAGCACTGTGGGTGAGCTGGCCACGGTGCTCAGGAACCTGGACCTGGCACAGAAGCTGATGAAGCAGTATGGCACGCCTGACAACATTGACATCTGGATGGGTGGGGTGGCTGAGCCCCTGGAGCCTGGAGGCCGTGTGGGCCAGCTCCTCGCCTGCCTCATTGGGACCCAGTTCCGGAAGCTCCGAGATGGTGACAGGTGAGGGGCGGTGAGCCACGTAGGCCCACTGTGTGGTCGCAAGCCTCTTTCCCCTACTTATCGGGGCCCCTACTTCCTCCTGTGAAGTGAGGGGCAGCAAGGGATCTGTGATTTTCCAGTGTGTTCCTGGCCCTCGAGATCATCCTTGACATGCTCTGAACCTGTGGGGGGGGGGGCAGCCAGGAGGGACCTGGACCGCTGGTTGTGAAGGAGGGAAGACAGAGAAAATGCAACTTTACTCCTCTGATTTCAAGATGCCACCATGCAGCAGTTGCTCACTGTTGAACAGTCCCCAAGGCGCTCTTAGTGTCATTTCAATGTGGCCCTGACATCTATCAGGCCTGGTTCTTACCTAGTTCATATTGTGTCCATGGAAAAGTTAGAGAAAAGTGTCCCTCTCTGGGTGGACACATTATAAACAGATTGATTCTCTGTGCCCCCATGGACACAGCCCCGGGCCCGGGCACAGGGCTCTGTGAGTGAGTGCGGGCCCAGCTCCCTGCGCAGCGTTGCCCAGGTCTTGGGGCCGCTGGGCTGACACAGGTAGAGCTGAGGCCAGTGGGCAGCGGCGTGAAAGTCCCTGGGCAGTCTGAGGGCCTGGAGCCCTCGCAGGCTGGGGAGTGGGTGTCTGGGGTGGTCCTTCTTACATCGAGGGTGTAGCTTGAGCCAGCAAACGCCCTTCTGCTGAGGACAGCATCAGTGCCACATCCTCGGGTGTCCCCATGCAGGTTTTGGTGGGAGAACAGAGGTGTGTTCAGCAGCCAGCAGCAGCAGGCGCTGGCCAGGATCTCCCTGCCCCGAATCATCTGCGACAACACGGGCATCACCACCGTGTCCAAAAACAACATCTTCATGTCCAACATGTTCCCTCGGGACTTTGTCAACTGTAGCACACTCCCAGCATTGGACCTGACTTCCTGGAGGGACAGTAACTAGAGGCTGGGTAAGCGGGGGATGGGGTGGTGAGGTGAAGCATGGGCTGGCCACCTGGGGCCCCAAGGCTTTCCTTTTCTGAAGTGAGCCCATCCCTGTTCTGGCCAAGAAAATGAGTGACTAGACATCCATTCATTTGTGTGTGTGTGGTATGTGTGTGCATGTGCAACGCATATAAATTGCATTTCCTATATGTGTGTTTTCTGTGAACATGGGTGGTGCTTTGGACACTGTGTATACGCGTCGTTTATATGAGTATGTACTTGCTGTTTATGTATGAAGCATATGGAAGATAGTAGAGCACACTGGTGGGGAGCACAAGCTCAGGAGTCAGGTTGCTGAGTTCAAATCCTGAGTCTGCAGTTCTCTAGCTGTGTGATCTCCAACAAATGACTCAAGTTCACTGAGAAACCTGACTTTTTTTCTTTGCGAATAAAAGCTGTCATGGCTCCTTAGAGTCTCCATTTATACCCTGTCTGCCCTTGGGGAGCTCACACTTGACAGCATCCAGATTAGTAGGGTTGAGCCAGTGACCCCTGGAGGAATGATCATTGGCAGTGAGACCGTGTATGGTGGTTGAATTGTGGGTTCAGGTGAGCAGGCCTGAGCCAGTGGCTCCCCTCTTCCTTCTTTTTTTTCTTTTTAAAGATTTTATTTATTTATTAATGAGAGAGAGAGAGAGAGTAAGCAGAGACATAGGCAGGGGGAGAAGCAGGCTCCTGGCAGGGAGCCCGACATGGGACTTGATCCCGGTCTCCAGGATCACGCCCTGGGCTGAAAGCAGGCGCTAAACCGCTGAACCACCCAGGGATCCCCACCCCCCTTCCTTCCTTATGATGTTTTCTTGCTTATTCACAGGAACCCACCTGGAGAGGAAGTGGGGCCTGTTGGCCCTTTTGTACTGTTTGTTTGTACCTGATGTCTATGATAATAAAGTTCCACTGATGGGGCTCTTCACTCTGTCTGTGTCTGCTCTGTGGCTGGAGCCTTAGCATGAGGCTTGCTCTGGGTTCTGATTTTGATTTTTTTTAAGATTTTATTTATTTATGAGAGACAGAGAGAGAGAGGCAGAGACAGGCAGGGGGAGAAGCAAGCTTCCCATAGGGAGCCCGATGCTGGACTCGATCCTAGGATCCTGGGCTCATGCCCTAAGCCGAAGGCAGATGCTCAACCACTGAGCCACCCAGATGTCCCTGTGTTCTGGATGTGAACTAGCGTAGTCTGTGCCTCCAAACTGGGAGTGGGAGTGTCCAGGAGTCATCCTTTGCTGAGCCACACGTGGAAGATAGTTAGTTCTTAGAAGCCTCTGGGTCAGCTCAAACCAAGCAGACCATCCTGACTCACCTTCCACCCATACCACTCCTGGTGGAACAGAAATTGTGGTCACCAAGCCCTTATATTCATTCATTGCTCTGGCAGAGGTTTGCGACCTGCTCACCCTGTGTCAGGGCTGTGTCGGGTGCTGGGAGATGGGACAAAATGCTGCCCTGCAGGAGAGACAGAACAGAGGTGCGATGGGAAGGTGGGCCCTTCCCAGATGACAGGGCATCTCTCCCTGCATCCTTGCAGCCTTGCAGGTGGTTTGGAGGCCCTCAAGACAGTAGACTTCTTCTCAGTCTTGGCTTCAAGTAGCCAGTTCCCGAGAGCAGGGACAACAGATGGCTGGGCCCAGGAGGACAGGGCCAGAGCTGAGGGAATGGAAGGAGGCTATTTCCCAAATAATCTTGCCTGAAGCCTGACTCCTGTATCTGAGACTGCCTATTTTGCTTCCCCCACCCCCCTCATCTCTGGGAGCCTGAAAGTGTGCAGGATGTGGAGGCTAATGTGCACATAGGAGCCCCAGGGCCACATGAAGACCTCCTATAACTGGATAAATACTCCTTTCCATTTCACTGATGATGAGCAGGGAGGTGAAGGGACTCATCTGAGGCCTTGAAGAAGTAGGTGCCAGAGCCAGGACTACAGCCCAGGTCTTTGGACTCCTGGCCTATTCCCACAGGATGGCTGACTGCCTCCCTCCCACCCTCACTCCACTGGTCAGGGTACCTGGAGGCGCTGGCTGGGCTGATCTTACCCTGAGGGTCATTTTAAAAGAACACTTGAATATGTATTGGGCAGCAGTACAAGGAATATTCTGGAGATGGCCCTTCAGAAGTCTCAGACCCCAAGGTCTGCCCTAGAAGAAGAGAGTATTTCCCAGAAAGGTTTCTGGAAGGGAGATCAACTTTAGCTGTATGGGAATCCAGGCTCAGAAGTCCTCCCTGTTCGATCCCTTATAGCACCCCACACCCTCTCCTTTGCCTCTCTATGGCCATCGCTTCTTTCCCTAGGAGCTCTTTGCCTCCTCCTTTTCTTTGAGAACTCCAAAATCTCACCAAACCATGCCTTCTCAACCCACAGACCCATGCGCACAACATTTTAGTGGTAAGACATGTCTATATAAACATCTAGTGATTAGTTGGCAGTGGTCCCAAGGTCTGCCTTCTGGAAAGGAATGGTGTCATGACCACCATTCTGAGTCAATCATTAGATGTTTATTGAGCACCTGCTGTGTGTGTCATGATGGGTGGCAAGGATACTCAGAAGCAGACTGAAGTTCCTGGCTCGGGGAGCTTACAATCTAGTTTGAAAGAAGAGGAGGAAAGATAAGAGTGCAAAGATCATGATGGCTTCAGCCAAGACTTGTTGCAGGGAGAGGATGGGTGACATCTGCAGACAGAGGGGATGGTATGGGAGCAGCAGGATTTGGGTGGAACAGCTGGAAAGGCTGAGGCACTGGCCTTGGGCTCAAGCGAGGTACGCATCTGAAGAGTATAAAGAAACTCGGTTGAAAAGAAGGGCTGGTGTGGGGAGTGGAGCTCTAAGGCACTGAGTCACTGAACTTGCTCTTGCTTGAAATGACATCAAGGACCAAAGGGAGCACTACTGCATAGTGTGGGAGGTTGGGAAACCTGCGCCCCTAATCCTCCACCGAGGCCCAGGGTGAAAGATCCAGCTTGTCAATGGCTGAGCAATCCACAAAGCCTTCGGGGTAGTTGTTGGCCTGGAATGGGTCCCGTGGGACCTTGGTGATGTAAGTGTTGTCGCAGACAAGGCGCGAGAAGGATATTTTCCGTAGAGCGTCCCGCTGCTTCTCCGTGAAGACCCCAGGGTTCTCCCACCAGAATCTGCAGAGACAGAAACAGGGTCTGTCCACACAGCCCAGCTGGACCACCCCCATCCCCTTACTGTGCCACAGGAGAAAGAAGGAGGTCACTGGGAACACTCTGAGGTCTGGACTGGTTCTCACATGAGACTTTGGGATACCCATGGAGAAGGGTCAGCTCTCCCTGGCCCTCCTCATGACGTCTCACTTGCCTGTCTCCATCACGAATCTGCTGGAACTGCTTTCCCAGGAGGCAGGCCAGGAGAGATCCCACCCGGCCCCTCTCTACCTGGGGCTCAGCAACACCCCCAACCCAGATGTCGATGTTGTCAGGGGTCCCATAGAGATCCAGTAACTTCTTAGCCAGCCTCCTGTTCTTCAGTACAGCATCCAGCTCCTTCAGGGTCTGGGGCTGTGGGAGGTCACAGAAGCCTCTCCAGGAGTTGTACCCTAGGGCAGAGAGGTGGAAGCTGCCTCATTTCGGGGGCTTCTCATCCACACCCCACCCCCTTGTGGACTTACTGCTCCAGCTCCATCAGCCCCAGAAAGTCTGGACTCGGGGCACCTGGGTGGCTCAGTGATTGAGCATCTGCCTTTGCCTCAGGGCGTGATCCCAGGGTTCTGGGATCGAGTCCTGCATGGGGCTCCCCTCCGGAAGCCTGCTTCTCCTTCTGCCTATGTCTCTCCTCTCTCTGTGTCTCTCATGAATAAATAAATAAATAAATAAAATCTCAAAAAAAAAAAAAAAGAAAGTCTGGACTCATACCCTGGGACAAGGTAGGCAGGGCTCCATTGTTTTATACTTGTGGGACTTAAGACTTGAGAGGACTAGCAGGCTCTATGGTGTGTTCTATGGGTCCAGACACTATTCTAAGCATTGTACAAATATGTAAACTGAAGAATAGAGATGTTAAGTAACTTGCCTAAGGTTACATAATTAGAAATGGCACAGCTGGGATTTGAACCCAGGCAGTATGGCTCTTAATTGTTACATTGAATTGCCTTTCTTGGGTATAAAAGGAAGGTCCAATAGTCATTGGTTTCTCTCTCTCTTCTCCTTTCTTAATGTTTATCTGGGCTTTTATTTATTTTTTTTAAATCTTTATTTTATTTTTTTTAAATTTTTATTTTATTTTCATTTATTTATGATAGTCACACACACACACACACACAGAGAGAGAGAGAGAGAGAGGCAGAGACACAGGCAGAGGGAGAAGCAGGCTCCATACACCGGGAGCCCGACGTGGGATTTGATCCAGGGTCTCCAGGATCGCGCCCTGGGCCAAAGGCAGGTGCCAAACCGCTGCGCCACCCAGGGATCCCTTATCTGGGCTTTTAAACTGGTTTTACAAGTCAGTTTTTGGCCCCCCCATTCCTTTGAGGAGTTCCAAGATGGTTCTAGATATGTACTACTCTTTTCCCTGCATTAGAGAGAATGGAAGAATTCCATTTCACAGAACAACAGAATGAATTTTTAAAAACTGGCATCTCTGTTTTCTGTTTTAGAATTGGTCAGATCCCCAGGGTTATCGAAGAGAGCCCCCAGGAACCCCAGAAAGTAACTAAAAGTTCCCTGAGCCAGGCAGGCCTGCATGCCCTCTCACCAGGCATCCCGTGGTCCCGGCAACGCTGGATGTTGATGGCGGCCAGGTCAAAGCCGTGAATCTTGTGAGTCGGCTGGAAAAGTTTGTTGCGCAGCTCTCTTGTCATCATTTTATTCTGACTAATCAGCTTGGAATTCTTGGCTAGCAGGCCCCTGATCAGAGGGTCAATTCCACCTGCAAGGGAGACCCAGAGACCATCCTGGGGAGGTGGGTAGGGGGAGGCCATCTTCCACTGCTGGCTCCTTCCCCCACTAGAGGATTCCTCTCAAGCTGGGAGCCAAGAGAGAAGAGCCAGGGGCAGCCTGCAGGGAGCGCTGGGGTCAGGACAGTCTAGACTGCTGCGGAGTGGGGATGGGAAGAAAGGGGCATTCCTGGGACCTTGGCAGGAATAGAAGTAAGCTTCAGGAGTTTTTTTTGAGCTCTAGCTCAGAGAGTCGGCTCCTTCTCTTTCCATATGTTCCCCCGAGGAACTCTGAAGCATGGGAAGAGGTAGCAGAAGTCTACAGAGAATGGCTGTGACTCATCAGGCCTTAAGTAAAGCCAGTTTCAACACAGCCTGGCCCAGGAAAAAGGGGGGCCAGGCCCAACCTCTGGCACTTGATGGAGGTGGTGGAAGGACTTAGAGGAGGCAATTGCAAAAAAAAAACAAAAAACAATTTATTTAACAAACCCATGAATTCTTTCTGCAAGGGTCAGAGAAGCCTGTGGCGGGGAAAGCCCAGGTACCTTGGAGGTCAGAAGAGAAGAGAAAGAATAATACTAAAATTTATTGACCACCTCCTGTGAGTTAGAAACCATTAGGTTTCCTGTGAGTTAGCACCATAGGGTGCTTTCCACATATACACCACTTAATCTTCTGTACGCCCTAGTGTGATAGGTATCATTGTTGTCCCTGTTTTACAAATGAGGAAACTAAGGCTCAGTGAGGTGAATTCACTTGCCCCAGGTCACACGGGAAGATCCTGGGGTCTGATTTCTATGGCAGGCTTCCCTAGAAGCAGGCCGCAGAGTGAGACGCTAGGTGACCGTGCTTCCCTAAAAGGACGTACCATCTTTGACTATCCTCCAGGTGTTAAAGAAGAGGGTGTGCAGGGGGAGCTCTGATTCTGGACCCCATGGTTGATAGTTCTCATCCAGGCGGGACAGAGTGGAGGGGACCTCCAAGTGGCCAAAGCGGAAGGCAAAGGTGAAGACATTGGAAATTCGGGGGTCAGCAGATTTGTTATAGCCTTGGTAAGGAGGGATCCACTTCTGCATCTCATCACCGAGCACCATGGGTAGGTAGTCCCTAAAGGTGGTAATCTGAGGGCAGAAACATGTCATGAGCAAAAGGTGTAAGAAACACTTAAATCTCTGCAGAGTGAGGTTGGAGGAAGCTTCAGTCAAGAGGGATGAATAGCCAAAAATCTAGAAGGGCAACTGGATAGCATATGTGCCCATTTCCCTTCCTGTGACCATGGCAGACATTGGCTAATTGATCATGACATTCTTTCTGCTGGTTGGTCATCATTCATCTCAACACAGGCTTTACTGATCAGTCATTTGAATTGGCACTAGATTGTCATCTCTGCTCTAGGTCTATGACCTTGAAGCTAAAGTGACAGTCCTTGTATGTCACTTTAACATAACGATGTCACATCATTCAACTTCTCCTTGAGGTCCAGGGCAAAAGGAATGACGATCTACAGGAATGACGAACTACAGGAATGATTCACAGGGTAAATTCACCTAATCTCCAATTTTGAAACAAATGGTGCACCATGGAGAGAGCAGTTTGGGCATCTGTTTTACTCAAAGAGATGAACTAACACACATAGAAAAAAATTTGAAAAAATAATGGCACCATGTAACGCAGTAATTATATTAATTTTTTATTTTCTAATCTTTGTCTATACAATACATATCTTTACACACTTGTAATCCTAGAGAATATATACTTTTGTATTCTGCTTTTTCACTTAAAGTTTCTCATGTCTCTACCTAGCTCACAATTATTATGTAGTTAAACGTGCATAATATTTGATTGCATTCATGGATCCTTCTCTTACTGTTTTACTTTTAGATTGCTTCCAATTTGTTCAGCAGCATAAACTGTGGAGATTTCCTCTGAGTTTCCTCAGAGGAAAGAGACAGAAACTTGCCTCTGGCCATAGTGGACTGGCCCAGCTGCAGCACCAGCCCAAGCTGGTTAGTCAGAGCTCATGCTCAGGAATTCAGATTTTGGATGCAGCTATTCTAGACTGTGTCTGATGGTGCGTGGTCTGAAGGGACAGGTGGGGCCATATGGGTGATCGTTTGCTACCATTTGTAGAAAAGCAGAGAAAATCTGTCTGAAGACAGAGACAGAGAAACACGGAAAGAAGGAGAGAGAAAGAGAGAGAGAGAGACAGAGAGAGAGAGAGAGAGAGAGAGAGACAGAGAGAGAGAGAGAAGAACAACAGAGAGTGGAGAAAGGCATGGAGAAAGAGAGACAGAGCTGCCCTAATTCTAGATGGTTTCCAGTCTCTGGCTCTACCCCTTGCTTAGACCCAACTATACTGCCTGCTCTGCGGTTCCAGGAGAAACCTGTGTCTATTTGACATATGTATAGGATTGAACCAACACTAAACATCTGAACTAGCCTGAATGGGCATTTTTTTCTTATAGTCCAATAAGCCTTGTTATGGATGGAAGTGTGTCCCCTTCTAAAGTCATATGTTGAAGTCCTAACCCCCATTGTGATTGTTTTTGGACATAGGACCTATAAAGAGGTATTTGAAGTTGAATGAGGTCATAAGGCTGGGGCCCTCATCCAATAGTCCTGGTGTCCTTATAAGACGAGAGAGAGACACCAGGGAGCTGCACACACAAAGGAAAGACCATGTGAGGACACAGAGGAAAGGCGGCAGCCATCTGCAAACCAAGGGGAGAGGCCTGAGGAGAAACCAAAACTGCTGACACCCTGGTCTTGGACTTCTAGCCTCCAGGAGAAAATAAATTTCTGTTGTTTAAGCCACCCAGTATATGATATTTTATTGCAGTAGCCCAAGCAAACTAATATAAACCTTAATTCATATTTTTACTTTACTTTTCATTCTTTGGATGATTTCCTACAAACATCTCCAGCAGCATGATTTCTGGGTTCAATTAAAAATAATTATTGAATTATGGAGATTTGGAGAAGAAATAGATGGAGATTTATCTCTTTGATGATTAAAACTATGTCCATGGGGCTTCTGGTTCCAGAACAAGATGGAGGAGACTCATTTTTCCCTAATCTTCTATGCTAAATATAAATACCCGCCCCCCAGGAAATTATTCGATAGACAACATAAATAGACTTCCAAAGCGAGAAAGAAGGTGGATTTACTGGTGACCTCAGGGCATGAGGAATGATTGAGCTACCAAAACGTTGAGCTTCTATTTGTCCCCAGACTGGGTACAGGAGAGGCTGGCAACCCGGAACCTTCAGTAGGAAGAGACAAAAAGAGCCAAAGAAAGCCTATTCTTTCTCCCCAAAGGACTGGGACAGGAGGAGCCCAGCAGAGCCTCCGTGGAGAGCCCCCCAGATGACTCCACAACCCAAGCCCTTAGCCATTCCAGCCCTCGATCCACACCTCAAGCTGGCAGGTGGTCCAACATGACTACAACGGTGGTAGCAGTGAAACTCCATGTCTCTCTGTTCTTCAATCAACAGCATATAGAGACCAAGTGCAATGGCTTCTGCTCCCCTAGAAGTTTGCCCAACAAAAGAAGGCAGCCAGGAAAATGCCTTCCTGCCTTGTAGACAACATTAGTAGGCACTGAATGGGAACCCTAGAGGTACGAGAAAGAATGAAGCAGACCAGAATAGAATTGCAAGGACTCAGGAAACTAAACTGTCATTGGAACTAAAGCCCACAAAGGTAATTACTAAAATGTCTAGGATGTAATTGAAAATCACTCAACACCAAGAACCAGGAAAGCCACAGTTTGAATGAGAAAAGATAATTAACTAATGCCAATACCTACATGAATCAGGCACTGAGGTTATCTGATAAAGATTTTAATGCAGTTTCATAAAAATTCTTCAATAAATATGTCACCTTGAAACAAAAAACAGACCATGTCAGCAAAAAAGTAGAATTTATAAAAAAGAAATGCTGAAATTATAGAACTGAAAAATACAAACTAAAATTAAAAACTTATTAGGAAGACCCAGCAGTAGCATGGAGAAAACAGGGTAGAATTGAAGATGGATCAATAAAATTTACTTAACCAAAGCAACTAGAGAAAATAAACAAAACAAACACTTCAAACAAACCAGAACCTCGGGGGTCTGTGGGACAATAACAAAAAGTCTAAAATTCCTATTAATGGAATCCCAGAAATAGAGGAGAAAGGAGTAGGGCTGAAAAAGGATTTGAAGAAATAATGCCTGGAAACATCCCCAAATTGGTGAAAGACATATACTTAGAGATTCAAGAGGATGAATGAATACCAAATATAATAAACCCAAAGAAATCTACTCCAAAATGCGTTATAATTTCATTTCTCAAAACTAAACACAAGAGTCTTAAATACTGCCAAAAAGAAATGACACATTATAAGTGAACACAATGTGAATAACGGGGAGCTTCTCATCTGAAACCATGGACACCAGAAGGAAGAGGCACAGCATTTTCCAAGTGGTGAAAGAAACCAGAAGGAAGAGCAAAGTAAACCCAAAGCAAGCAGAATAGGCTAAAGAAGAAAAGTCATATTAATGAAGACAGACTATTTGACAGAATTCAACATCTATTCATGATGAAAACTCTCCATACACTAGGAACAGAGCGGAATCTCCTCAACCTCATAAAGAGCATCCACACATCCACAGAAGATTTACAATGAACATTACACTTAATGGTGAAAGATTGAATGTCTTCCCTCTAAGATTAGAAAGATGAGGATGTCTGTTCTCTCCACTCTTATTCAACACTATACTAGGAATTATAGCCACTGAAACAGGGCAAGAGAAAGGAATTTTTAAAACATGTAGATTACAAAAGGAGAAATACAGCTGTCTTTATTTATGGATGACATGATTGTCTGTGTAGAAAACTCTAAGGAATCCACGGAAGAACTCTTAGAACTGAGTGAGTTCAGCAAGGCCAGGATACAGGATCAGCATACAAAAATCAATTACATTTTTATGCACCGATGAACAAGTAGAAACTAAGTAAAAAATGTAATACCATTTGTCACTCCTCCAAGGAAAATGAAATACTCAGGTGTAAACCTAACAAAAGATGTACAGGGTCTGTATGATAAAAATTACCAAATGCTGATGAAATACAGCAAAGAAAACCTGAACACCTAGACATACTGCATTTATAAATTGGAATACTCAACATTGCAAAGATGTCAGGTCTCCCTAAATTTTAATGCAATTCCTATCAAATTTCAGCAAAGTTTTTTTTTTGGTAAATGTAGATAAGCTTATTTTTAAAATATATAGGAAAAGGAAAAGACCTGGAATAGTCAAAACAATTTGGAAAAAGGATAAAGTGGGAAGAACCATGGCTCCCAGGATAAGTCTTACTGTATAGCCATAGTAAATACTGGGGCTAGTATAGGAATAGACATATAGATTAATAGAACAGAATAGATAATTCAGAAATAAATTCATATAAAAATGCCTAAACACTTTATGATAAGGGAGCAAAAGCAATTCAATAGAGGAGGGATAGCCTTTTCAAAAAATGGTGCTGGAGCAGTTGGATATCCATAGGCCAAAGAAAAGGAGCCTCACCTTAAACCTTACACTTTATACAAAAATTAATCCCCAGTGGATCATGGACTTAATTGGAAAACCTAAAACTATGAAGCCTCTAGGAAAAACTAGAGAAAAGATCTAGGACTAGAGAAAGAGTTCTGAGACTGGACACCAAAAGCACAACCCATGAAAGAATACCAAACACAATAAATCCAAAGAAGTCTACTCCAAGATGCATTATAATTAAATTTCTGAAAACTAAACACAGAAGTCTTAAGTACTGCCAGAGAGAACTGATGCATTATCTATAAATTAACACCAAAAAAGAAAAAAAGGTATTAATTAGACCTCATCACCATTAAAAACTCTTATCCTACAACAGATTCTGTTAAGAGGATGAGAGATTGGGGATAGATATTTACAGTCACATATGTGACAGAGGACTTGTATCTAGAGTATATAAAGAACCCTCAAACCTTAACATTAAAAGATAATACATATGAAAATACTGAAAATATATGAACAAATATTTTACTGAAGAGGATATACAGATAACAAGCACAGGAAAATATGTTCGACATGATTAGCCATTAGAGAAATGCAAATTAATACCACAATGAAGGGGTGCCTGGTGGCTCAGTCAGTTAAGTGTCTGCCTTCTGCTCAGCTCATGATCTCAGGGTCCTGGGATGGAGCCCGCGTCAGGCTCCCTGCTCAGTGGGGAGCCTGCTTCTCCCTTTACCCCTCTGCCCCTACTCTTACTCACTCTCTCCCTCTCTCTCTCCTCTCTCTCAAATAAAAAAATATTTTTAAAAACCCACAATGAATGTTGTTACTACATACCTATCAGAAAGAGTAAAAGAAAAACCAATGATGACGGGATGTCAGGGTGGCTCAGCAGTTGAGTGTCTGTCTTTGGCTCAGGTCGTGATCCCAAGGTCCTGGGATCAAGTCCCACATCTGCCTCCCCACAGGGAGCCTGGTTCTCCCTCTGCCTGGGTCTCTGCCTCTTTCTCTCTGTGTCTCTCATGAATATATAAACAAAATCTTTAAAACAAACAAACACAATGATGACAACAAACAATGGCCAGGTTGCAGAGACAACTGGGTCACTCATACACTGCTGGTGAGGACATAAAATGGTACAGATACTCAGGAAAATAGATTGGCAGTTCCTTTTAAAACTAAAAATGGACTCTTGATATGACCCAGCAATTGCATTTGTGGGCACATATCCCAGAGAATGAACAGCTTATTTTCATGTAGAAATGAATACACAAATGTCCACAGCAGCTTCATTCCTAATGGCCCCAAACTGGAAACAATTCAAATTTCCTTTAATGGGTGATGGTTAAATCAACTACAGAATACTACTCAGCAACAAAAAGGAAGGGACTTTACACCTGCAACAGCCTGGATGGACCTTGGGCAATTATGCCAAATGTAAGGAGCCAATCTCAAAAAGATACATATTGCATGGTTTCATCTACCTAACATTCGCGAAATAACATAACTGTGCAGATGTAGAGTAGATCAGTGATTGCCAAGGGATAGGGACCTGGAAGGGGAAGTGTGGATGTGGCTATAAGAAGGTAGAAGGAGAGAGTCTTGTGGTGATGGTAGAGTGAAGTATCTTTATTGTGGTGGTGGTGGTTACATGAAACTACCCAAGTGATGACACACACACATACACACACACACTCACCCCCATACACACATACACATACACACGCACATTCGCGATTGCATTTCTAACTGGTGAAATGCAAATAAGACCTATGGTCTGTGTCATTGTTAATGTCCTGCTTTTGATGTTGTACCAAAGTCATGCAAAACATTAGCACTGGGGGAGGCTGGGTGCATGTACTGTTTGTTTGCTTACAACTTCCTAAGAATCTGTACTTACTTCAAAATAAAATGCTTAAAGAATATGTGCATGGTTAATTTTAGTCAGTCAGGCAATCCACTATAGCAATGGACTATGCCTGTGACATGGGGCTTAGGTGTTGAGAATTTATGAAGAAGCTAATCCAACCGAAATAACTCACCTAGCTGCTATGCAACATTCCCAGGAGTGATGGAGACTGATCAATATACAAATAATTCTCCAACACTCTGAATCCAGGGATTCATTTTGGGGCAGAGAAAAGCATGAGACAGTGGAGGTATGGAGAATAGAGAAGATAGCTAGAGGTGTGATGACAGGCAGAGCCGGGGCGGCAGCCAGGTGGGCATGGGAGGCAGTGCTCCTGGGCTTCCATACCTGCACAAAGGCTCCCAGGATCTTCCGGGCTTCCTGGTAGAGCTTCTCTCCATCCCACTGAGGATTGAGTCTCTTTAGTTCTATTGCCAGCCGGTTGTGCTCCCGGAGAAAGAGAGTGTGGGAAGAGGCCAGCAAGATCTGCTCCGAGGCTCGGGAATCTCCTGAAAGCCCAGAAGGCAGGAAAGTTGGTTCCCCAGGAGCAGCCTCAGAACCCAGTAAGCTGCACAAAAAAAATAGATGACAGTGTCCCCGAGGGGCCCTCCCCTAAGGCCTCCTTCCAGTTTACCTAAGGTAAGTCAAGTGGAAAGGGATTGGGGTTGGGATTCATAGGTTTTAATCTCAGCTCCACACACACTATATTTTCAGCTGTGTCACTTTGGACAAGTTACTTGGCACTTCTAAGCCTCAGTCTCTGTATCTGTGAGAATTGGGATAATAAGGCTGACCACACAAGATTGCACTAAAAACTACAGATGACATTAAAAAGTAAAATTTTGCTAATTACAATCCCAACTGCCCTCTAAAGTGGGGTAGTAAAAAGAAAGAGGGCCTTTTTGTGCGGAGCAACTTTGAAAGTTTTAGGAATGCAAGTTTAAGGACAGGAGCCTGGGTAGGGTCGAATTTCTCTGTGTAATAATGGGAGAAGAATCTAGAGACGGGGGTGGGGGGTGGGGGGGGGTGGGGGGGGTGGCAATGCGAGAGAGGAAAGAGGGGAAGAACAGGGTCAGTTAACTGGCAGAAGAGCAGATATTTCACAAGGAGACATCTTGTGTCTTCTAATCTTCAGGAAAAGTCTATTAAATTCACAAATGCTCAGCCTTAGTGGATACTTTTGTGGAAAACAGGAAAGGGTTCAGTTTTGTATCTGGATTGATATGAGATATATGTGAACACAGAATCCAAGAGATCTACCCAAGAGATCTGAGCCTATGAACTGGCTTCCTGCCATGTCTGGGCTGGGCAAGGGGTTTGTCCTGCAGAGGAAATTTTTGGAAGAGGAAAGGTCTCCAGAAGCCCAAGGCATGAGGGCAGACCAGAAGGGCAAGGATATAGGCCCCCAGAATGAACAAAATTGGGGGGCTTTGGTTGTGCACAGGTTGTACGGAGTAGGGGCTTTATGCTGAGTTTATGAAAAGCCTTAAAAATATGCATTCCTCTTAATCTAGAACTTCCTTCTCTAGCAAGTTATCTTAATAAAATCATTAAAAATGAGTGGAAAGATTCATCCAGAAGGATGCTCATTACCGAAAAAACCGCAATAAATCACAGAAAAACTAGGAATAATTTAAAGGCTTCCAAGTAGGGTTGATAAAATAAATTATGATAATATATGTCATGGAATATCAGGCAGCCAGTAAACATCATATTGTAGAAGAATAATTAACGATGTGATATATTAAGTGACAACATCAGGTTATAGAACATAACTGATAGTATAACCCCCCCATTACGTAAAACAGTATAGAACTATAGCTATGATTTTTAAAAAATCCTAGAAAGATGGCCATTAAAAATGTTAAGAATGATTATCTGTGGGTGGTGGGGTTTTGTGGATTTTCTTATTTGTGTATCTCTGGACTTAATCTTTTTTTTTTTTTATAGTGAACACATGTTCTTAGATTTTGTATTCATCTGGGCCCTTCTGACAGTCCTGGACCAGTGCCAGAGGCAGTGGGGGCTTGGTGTGCATTTTTTTCCGGAAGACAAATGAGAAGAAGCAGTGGTAAAGCCTCCCTGGAAGCTGCCTAGTAGCCTCCTGAAGTTTTTCTGGTCTCTCTCTGCTCCTGTGGTCCCAGCCTAGACTCACCTGCCAGGAAGCAGGGCACTCGGGCAGTGGTGTTGATGAACTCACAGGGGCTTGGCTTCTTGACGTCAAAGGGCAGGTAAGCCAGCCCATGGTCATGGATCTCCTGATTCACAGCCATGAGGCCCAGGGGGCTGCTGAGGTTTCGAAGGCGGTTGGCCAGGCTGGGCTCAGGACCGTACACAAGGCTGGCATCCAGGAAGGAGGTCAGAGCGTTAATCTGATCTCGAGCCAGGGACTGGTAAGGTGGAGTGGGGCAGACGAACCCAGCTCGGAAGAAAGGCATGCACTTGCCTTGAGTCCTCAACTTGGGGTCATTGGGAGGGAACTGTGGAGAGATCAGGGGGTAGGTGACTGGGCAGAGGTGGCACAGTTGGAACCTGACAACCTCTCCCTAGGGTGGGTCTGGATGCAGCTGGCAAAGATGCTGATGGAGCCCTCCTGGGACCCTGGGACCAGACACTGACTCCAGATGCCTCCTGCTGATGCTGTATATCCTGGACCACAATGCCCTGAAATTCATTACATCCTATTATGTAAAAGGGTTGAGGGGAATCATTCAGTCTTTCATAGCAAAAGTTCCACATTTTTGGTGAGGAAGGAGGCCTGAGATCCCTATTCAGGGAAGCAGGAGTGAGATAGGAAAGGCTTTGTTAGTAATTATTAACAACAGCTACCATTCACTTATTTTGGATCTAACATGTGCTGTGTGTTATCCATACCTTATCTCTCTTTGGTCCTCAAAAATTGTGAGTTAGATAATTCAGTTCCATTCTACATGTGAGAAAATTGAGGCCTGGAAAGGTTAAGTAATTTGTCTAAGAACTTGGAAACTGGAAGGAAGATCTATGGGATTCAGATCTCGATGGACCTCAGTCCACAGCTCATGTTCTTTATACCACAGCAACATAGCCCTGATTTGTTTCAGTGAATAAATCACTAATTGTAAAATTCACAAATAAGAAGAAAACAGGGCACCGTTGCATGTTCTCTCTATTCCTGCTGGAAATCCCCACAAACCCCTGTTCTCACTCGGATTCATCCATCAAATTGCAGCTCTTTCAGGGAGTAGCCTTCCCAGACTTCAGGGTGACTTCCCAGATAGCAGTGTTTTACAAATTTCACTGTGTATAAAACTAATCTCCTGGGGATCTTGATATAACATAGATTTTGTTTCCCAATGTCAGGGATGAGGCGTGAGGTTTTACATTCCTAATAAGCCCCTAGGTGATGCCAATACTGCTGGGCCAGCCACATAGAGGATCCTCCCCAGAGTTTCCCAACTTTGCCATTAGTGATTACTTGTCCATTTCCCACACAGGCTCTTTGTCTTTGAGGAAAGGAATGGTGTCTTTGCCACCTTTGAAACCCCAGTGTTTAGTGCACTGCCTGGCATGAAGTAGATAACTAATGTCCATTTATGGAATAAATGGATGGGTGAATGAATGGATGTATGAGGTTCAGGAAGCTGTCAAATCAGCATTGGAGATCTATCACGAGACCTTGGCTGCCCAGCTGGGAATGTCTGCTCCTTCGGGGAGGCATGGAGTTTGTCACTCACCACGGCAGGGGCCTACCATGATGGGGAAGCAGTTGTCTCCTTGGACACAGTACTTGTCACACTGTGCTTTGGAGTACTCGCTGCTCCCCAGCTCCGTGTCGGGGGCAAAGTCCAGGTCATGGTCCACAATTTGACCCCACTGCATGAAGAGCAAGGACCTGTTTTGGTCCAGAACACCCCTGTCATTCAGGGAGTCTATAATCTTGTTGGATACCTCACGGGCCTAAAGACGGAGAGAGAAGGGGAGGAAGGATTGGAGGAAAAAGTGCTTTGAGGAGTCATACTCGCCTGCGGTTTATTGTGTACCCAGGGTATAACGGGTACATTTAATCCTCATGACAAGTTTGTGAGGTGGGTGGCATTACACATAATCTGTAGGTGAGGACACCAAGTCCTTGAGAGGCCAAGCCAGTTCCCAACAGTCGTGCAGCTACAAAAGGGGTAGGGATGGGCCTGAACGCGGGTCTCTGTGACTCGATGGCTTGCAAGGCCAGTGCCCTTTCCACCATGGAAAGGGAGAATGAAGACAGGATCCTTCTCAAGTGTCACCGTGTGCCAGGTGTCTGGCATTGGAGAGGGGCTCCGGGAAGGGGCTGCCAACTCAGATGAGGCCAACAGATAGGACCTCCGGGCAAACAACAGATGAAGCACCCCAGGGGCTGGGGATGGGGTAAGCGCGGGCAGGATGGGGCAGGGAGGCCATCTGCCCGGGAGACCCCAGGGTGTCAGGCCGCGACCACCACGTGGCCGGCCTCCGGCCTCCGGGCTCTGCTGCCCTCTAGTGGCACTTTGGGGAAATGTCCAAATCTCCCTGTCGCGCCCCCGGGCCTCGCACCCATTTCGGCTTCCCGTCGGCGCGCGCTCCGCTCCGAGGGCGCCCCCGCCGCTTCTGCTCGCGGCTCGCGCCCGCCCCGGCCGCGCGCGCTCACCAGCGGGAGCGGGAAGCCGTTCCGCGTGCTCCCCGGCGTCCACCCGAAGGGCAGGGAGAGCCCGTCCTCGTACTCCGCGGGCAGCCAGCGCGCCAGCGCCCTGTTGGCGGCGCCCAGCGCGGGCTTCCTCCTGGAACCGAGCAAGACCCGCGCTCAGCCTGGGCCGGGCGGCCGCGGGCTACGCTTCTCGGCCGAGCGGGTCCCGGCGGAGCGGGGGGGCCCGGGGGGCCCGGGGGGAGGAGCGGAAGCCTCCGCCCGCGGGAGGGGGGCGCGCAGGGGGCGCCTCTCAAATGTGGGGTTTCTGAACTGCGCGCGGGGGAAGGCGCCCGGCTGCGCTGCGGGTGGCATCGGGGGCCCTTCAGGGGAGGCGGAAGTTGGCGCGCCTGGGGGCCAGTCGGTTAAGCGGCTGCCGGTGGTTCAGGTGTGGTCCTGGAGTCCGGGGATCCGGTCCGCGTCGGGCTCCCTGCTCAGCGGGGCGTGTGCTCCTCCCCCACCCCACCCCGCTCCTCTCCCTCTCCTCCTCCCCCACTCATGCTCAAGTGCTCTGTCCCTCTCTCGAATAAATAAATAAAATCTTGGAGGAGGAGGAAGTTCCGGGAGGGTTCCGGGAGAGTTCCGACAGAAGGGTTTCGGTGGGCCCCAGGCCCAGGAGGGTAAGGCAGTGGCAGTTCTGCCGGGAAGCCCCCCCCCCCCGCCGCCCCCACCTCGGTTGGGTCGGACGCGGCTGGGTGAGCGGGTGGCTGCCCGCCGCACCTACTCATGCCCACTCGCCTGTTATTACAATCTCCTGTGATGGTTCGGTAAGGACTGTCCTTGTCACAATTCACCACAGCCACAGGGGCACCACAGCCCACCTCCCAAGACAGTGCAGTCAAGTCCAGGTTGGGGTCTGAAACAGAAGGGACGCCCAAGGGGTTGAGTTCTTTCTCCATTCTGGGGCACTGGCGGGAGGCAGGAAACGGAAACCAGAGGTGAACTTAGATTTCTTGGAATACATGTCTCTGTTCTAGTTTAGCCAATTCTCAGGTGACGTCTTGTTCAATCCTGACAACTCATTAAGGCAAGAATTTTAATTCCCGTTTTACAGATGAGAAACTGAGACCACAGTGCCGGAGAGACTTGCCCAGGGCCATACAGATAGTAATTGTGAAAGTCCTCAGAATTGTAAATGATTCTTTGTTTATCAGGTCATTCAATTCATGAGATCTTTCTTTTAGAATGAATATACCCCCTGAAAGGTTAAGCACCTGTTAGTACGAATTAGTTCGATAAGACAGATTTTCTTCTTTAGATGCTTCACTGGCATCTAAAGTATCAAGCAAACAGGAATCTAAGGAAGATGTTGGGAAGGAACAGAGAATTTGCCCACGCAGGAATTTGCCCAAATCCTAGGGAGTTATCTTTCCCGACTTGATGTTTTCTCAGGGAGAACCTGCAGCCTCTTCCTCTGGTCTAGACCAAACCCCTTCCTTTCTGACCCTCCAGGAGCTGTGACATTTGGTAGGGGGTGGGAGTGGAGGGGTTGGAGGAGGTCATGATCAATCCATTAGTTCATTGTTTCAGCTCCACATTACCCCAAACAAGATGGAAATCTCATCTCCTGTGACCTAATCCCAGTAAATCCCCCTGATACAGGTGGCTTAAATGTCTCCTTTACAGGTGGTAGAGGTGGCATTGTGGTTTGGGACAGGGAGCCCATGTTTATTGACTTTAGTACTTCCTCTGGACAGAGGCCTTACAGATGGCATTATACAAAGAGCATGAATATCTCCTCATTTGGATTTGGCAATGTGACCATGCTGGGCCTGCGTTCGTTTCTCTGCAAAAAAAAAAAAAAAACGTCCCATGCTGGCCCAGCTGTCCTCTCTGCACTCCTTGCTCTACAGGTCTGTGATTCTGAGAAGGGAGAGCTGAGAGTGCCCATCCCAGGAGGTGCTCCTAATAGGGAATGCAGTTTTTGGTGGCCCCCATTCTCTCCTGCAGGGAGATGGCCCTTTCCTGCTGTCAGAGGGTCAGTGGGTTTTCTGTACCTGTGGCATTGGTCAAGGCCACAATCTGCCTTAGCCTCTTTAAGGACTCCTCCCACACCTGTCCGTTGCGGATGGCTGTACGTGCCCGGCCTTTGGCATGTTTGAGGTACTCCGAGAGCTGTCGAGTGGTGGGCCCTTCGGAGCTCATAGCAGTCTTCAGCCTGCAGTGGAGAGCAATGGGAGAGTCAGGACCAAGCCCTCCAGCTCCAACCCTGTGGAAGAGGTGTGAAGTGACAGGTGTCTGGGGAGGAGCCGCAGGTGTGTGTGGGGGGGGGGCAGCACACAGGAGACAAGCACGCCCTGTGCTCTTTTCTCACTCTTTCCCCTAATGCCTCTGGAAAATCTCTTCTGGGAGGAGGAAACATTTTTATGTGTCTGGTTCTCAGAAAGGGCAGGCAGATGAAGGTGAGCACTTCCTGAATTAGAATCAGAGGCTTGGGGCTCCTGGATGGCTTAGCAGTTGAGCGTCTGCCTTTGGCTCAGGACGTGATCCAGGGGTCCTGGGATTGAGTCCTGCATCACACTCCCCACAGGGAGCCTGCTTTTCCCCCTGCCTATGTCTCTGCCTCTTTTGGTGTGTCTCTCATGAATAAATAAATAAAGTCTTAAAAAAAAAAATCGGAGGCTTGTAGCTGTGCTGGCCAGGTCAGAGTCAACTGGGGAAACTTAAAAACACCCAAGCCCTGGATATACTGATACAGACTAAGGAACTTCTAGAAATAACAGGCATAGTGGGCCTGTAGTTCTTCCACTGGAAACATCCTTAATTTCATCTGGCCCTAGAATTAGTGTGAAGTTTGCTTAGATGTGGGCTGTAGCATCATGCCTCTTGCTGGCCATTTTTGGGGCAAGATGTTCAGCCTTTTTACTCTTAATTTCCAATGTGTAAAACGAGAAGCCCAAATCCCTGCTCCTAAGAAGTTTGTGACAACACAGAGTGCTTATTGCAAGTTGGTATCAGAAAAGTCCCCCCATGAGAATCCCCCACCCCATCCCTGTGCCTCAGTCTCCTTGGGTGGAAGAAGGAAGGGTTCTGTGAGATTATGTCTATGGCTCTAGACTCTGAAATGTTGGAAGTGGCTCAAATTCTCACAAAATATAGCTCTATTTTGAGGGTACCATTCACTGCCTGCAATACCTGGCCTGTCACTATGGATCAGGTTCTTAGCTGTTCCAAGAGTGAGATGCATGATGTCTCAGCTAAGGGACTTCCTGGGCAAACGGGACAGGCATAAGGACGACTGTGATGATTGCGCTCCAATCAGCAGGCCTACCCCCAATCAGCCTCCCCCAACCACAATAAAAAAGAACCCAAGAAAAGAAACCAGACTGTCTTTTGGCTGCTGTTGCAAGAGACAGTATGGCCCAGTGGCCCAGAGCACTGTGCTGTCCAATATGATGACCGCTAACCAGGCATGGCTATTTAAATGGAACTTCATTAAAATGAAATTAAATTTAGTTCCTTATTGGAACGAGCCACATTTTAAGTGCTCAGTAACCATAGTTAGTGGTTCCTGTATCGGATGGCACAGATATAGAAAATTTCAGCATCACACAAAGTTCTATCAGCTAGCAGTGGCCTAGAGTTTGAGCTTAGTAAGCAAGAAGGTACCCTGGCTGTTTTGACTCCTGCCACTTACTAGTTGTGTGCCTCTGCGCAAGTTACTCAACTTCCCTGTACCCAGTTTCCCTATCCATAAAATGAGGATAAGGACAGTAACCTTAGGTTGAACCAGGCTATTTGATCATTTCACCTCAACAACAAGCTATTTCATGTAGTTGGAGTCAGCACTTCATAGAATTTGGGGGAGGAAGAAATGTAAAGCATCTAGAGCTGCATCTGGCATAGAATAAGCACTCAGGGTGTGTTAGCATCAGCACCACCATCCTCATGAGCCAGCACCCAAAGGGTTCTCCACCCCATAAACAAGGTGAGTTGTTGGGCCTTGTAGGGCTCCATCTGGAAGGTCCCACGCAAGGTTTCTCATGCTGCCTTCTGTCCTCCTCTGCCCTGAGCTCTGTGTGGCTCTTCTGATGGAATGCTGATTCCCTGGAGACTTACCTCCTACTTTGCTCAGGGCTCGGTTCCATGGGGGCAGTCAGGGTTTGGGAAGAGGTCTTTATCCATCTCCATACCTCCACCCTCACCCTAGCCACCATCACCTCTCATTTAGACAGCTGCCACAGCCTCCTGACTGGGCCCTTGCCCTTATTCCCATTCCTTTCCCCATCTCCTGACCATGCCCCACACAGCTGCTGCAGTGAACTTTTTAGGAGAGGCAAACCATGCCACTCTGATTAAAACACTTCATCGACTCACCCTGGGACCTGGATGAATCCATCAGTTTACTGCACACATGCTCCTATGTGCCTTAACTGACTCTGTCTAGTTCCAAAACATTTCCGTCACCCCCAAAGGAGACTGCATACCCATTAAGTAGTCATTTCCAATTTCTCCCCTGCTTCCTACCTCCTCACCACACCCATCAGCCACTAATCTGCTTTCTGACTTTATGGCCCTCAGGATCCACCTCTCTCTTTCACCTGTATGTGCTGCCCCTCACCTACCACTTCCACCAGCATTGGCCTTCTTTCTGTTTCCCGAGCCCCCTAAGCTCTTTCCTGCCTTTGCACCTTTGCCTTTGCCCCTCCCAGACCCTGGTATGCTATCCCCCTGGCTCTCTACATGGCTAGCTGCTTCTCATCCTCCACCAGGCTTCCTTGATCCCTGACCTAGAGTAACTGTTTGCTCTGTTTATTCTCTTCACTATCCTGTTCACAAATCATGACTCTTTGGATTGTTTGTGTCATGTAATGAGATGTTAATGTGTGATTCTTTATGTCTTTGTGAGGCCCCTAAGTCCAAGAACTAACCAGTGGGGATGAATTCCAAAGTGGGGCTGGTCATCCTGTACACAACCTGCAAAGGAGGTGATGAACACTGATTTTGTGGCTTTTACTGTATCCCCACCTTGGGGCTAGAAAAGGATTGAAGTTAAGGAGGGAAAGAGATTTTTCATTTGGAGATGGTTCCTGAAATGCCAGGCACTTCACTACTGCCACCATGGGGCTTCTTCTGTGCTTTAATTCTGGTGACAAGGATCTCAAAAGGAGGGCTTGATTGTGTGTCCTAGAGTCCTGGCCAGTGGTTGATATCTGCCCAAAGAGCCTAAAGAAGTGCTGTCTGGCTCTGTGCACCTGATAGAATTTGCCAGACAGGGCATCCCTGGGCAAAATCCACATATCCTCTGGCAGCAGGGCAAAGCTTTTAGTCTTCTGAAGCCTGCTTAAAAGAGACCTGGCTCAAGAGGGTATGGGGAGGTGAGAGAGTAAGCCAGATACTTCTAGGCTAATGGTTGGCAGTGTAAGCTACTGGCCAGAGACTTCTCTGGGTCAGGTTGCTGGCAGCAGAATCTCTGAGAGAGCTGACAAGTGCCCAAGGTGGGGAAGAGCTTCTGACTCCCACAAAGCACTAAGTTATGAGGTGACTTAGACCTTGCTCTCTGGGATCTCTCCTCCCTTCCCCAGCCTAACCCCTAAAGAATCAGAAGCCTGTGCTGAGGGAAAGGGAGCAGCCCAGAAAAGAGGGATGAGCCGACTGTGCTCCCTTTTCTCACTGAAGCCTAACATAGCTTTGAGCTGAGGGAGGCAAGAAACTCTGGGCTTTGCCTTCTTACGCTGACATTTGAATTCCTGAAAGGACACTGTTCTTGGGACTAGAAGTGACCAGAGCACATATTGTCATCCAAAAGTCAGGATAAACAGTTTTGGGACTGCTTAAGAGTTCATTCAAAGGCCAAGGAGGAAGGAAGCCTCCATTCTAGTGCAAAGGGACAGCAAGAGGAAGGAATAAGGCTGCCTTCTGCTCAACACAATGGTTATTCTTGTTTGTCTGGCTTTAGCTGGATGGGCTTCCTGAGGGCAGGGATGCAGTCTGCATTGCTTATTTTGGAGATCCCAACCCCTACATGTGATTGGACGGTGGCTCACTCTGCTGGTGACCCCTGTGGGGGTCACCAAGCACCCTTGGATCTTTTTATGGGGTTGGGGTGCTGTGTCCCTAGCTGCCCTGGATGCAGCTGCTGAGGACTCACACCTGAACCCTACTTGTGTGATTACTAGCCAATCCTTGCTTAACTTCCTCCTTCGACCTCTGCAACTCGCCCCCTCACTTCATTTACAGCTTTCCTGAGAGCACTTCTTAATAAGTCACCTGCACATGAATCTACGTCTCAGTTCCTACTTCTAGGGAATTGGACCTACGTCAGTCAATATGAGTTGAATGAATGGAGAAATTCTACCTACAAGCTTTTTGAGACTCTGAAACGCATGACCCCGGGAAACATTCAGCTATGTGGAAGAAAGTGCTTATAGGATTAGATCAGACATCTTCTTCAAGGTGATTTACAGGCTGCGGATTTTAGGACTTGTGGGCTATTACTCTGAGGTGGGGTGGTGGTAGCACAGCTTGTATAACTGCTTTGCTCACTGTCTTGTCAAGGCTGGCCTAGATGTGCTTGTCATTAGCAGGAAGCCTAGGAAGGGAGGTATGCTGTGTGTATGTGTGTGTGTGTGTGTGTGTGTGTGTGTGTGTGTGTCACATACCTGGTCCGGGATTCCAGGAAGGCCTTGTTGACTTCGACCTTGACCTGACTCACAGCATCAGAGATGGCAGCAATCTTGGTGGTCTGTGCTTGGAGGGGAAGGGACAAGGAGCAGAGTATCTGACACCCTTCCTTCGAGGTACCCTCTGCTTCTGTCTCCCTCTTTCTCAGCCATTCCCTCCACCTCTCAAATCTAAGCAGGCAGAAGATCAAGATTAGGACACATTCACAAGAATCTTCAAGGAGAAAAAGCACAGAATGGGAAGAATGCTCTCCGATCCTCCTTAAGATGTCAACATTGCTCCTCAGGAGTCCACTAGAATACCCAGGGATAGAATTAAGCTGTGTGACCATTCAGGTTGATTCGGGCTACTGGGCTGCAGGGATCTTTCTGGTTCTTGATGAGGTAGTTGCTTAAGCAAGTCCATCAAAGGGCTTAGCTGATCTGGGCCCTGAAGTAGAGAAGGGGATGGTATAGGGTAGAGGCAGGATTTCTTGCTTTCACTTGCATTGGAGTCTGGAGCATGGGGGAGAGGCAGGATGCATTCTCTGAACAAAGGAAGTCTACTGGGTTAAATGGTGTCCCATCAAAACACATGTCCAGCCAGGACCTCAGAATGTGACCCTATTTGGAAATAGGGTCTTTGCAGATGTAATTAATTCATAGGAGGTCATAAAGGCACAGGATCAGCGTGAGCAAGAGGAGAGGACACACAGGATACACACAGAGAAGTGTGTGAAGACAGGCAGAGATTGGACTGATGTAGCCATAAGCCAAGGAGTGCCAAGAATTGCTGGGGCCACCAGAAGCTAAGAAGAGGCAAGGAAGGATTCTCCTCTAGAGCCTTCAGAAGAACAGGACCCTGCTGACACTTTGATTTTGAACTTCTAACCTCCCAAAGGATGGGAAAATAAATTTTTGTTGTCTTTTGTTTTGTTTTGTTTTTTAAGATTTGTTTATTCCAAAGAGGGTAGGGGGAGGGCCAGAGAGAGGGGAAGGAAAAAATCCTGAGGCAAAATTCCCACTGAGCATTGAGATCAACGCGGACTCTGTCCCAGGACCTTAAGATCATGACTTGAGCCGAAAGTGAGAGTCGGCCGCTTAACCAACTGAGCCACCCTGGTGCCCCTAAATTTCTGTTGTCTTAAGCCACCCAGTTTGTTATAGTAGTCCCAGGAAACCTATACAGGGGGACACTTACCATTTGTGACCAGTGCTGCAGCCTGGAGCCAGGTCAGGGAAGCTAAAAGAGCTGGGAGATGGAGAAGGACCCGCATTGCTGAAATGAGACCCAGGATCATGTGTGAGCCTTGTAGAGCTCCAATGGGAGCTCTACAGAAAGGGATAGTAAAGCAGAGAAGGCCCAGGGAATAGCAGATGTCCTCATATTGGAGCAGAGAAGGGGAAACTACAATAACTAAGTCAGCATCTACCATCTGTGCAGACCCATGCTAGCTACTGGCAGGATGTGTAAAGAGGCAGTGCTGGAAGGGAAAGAACTCAGGCTTCGGGGTCAAGAGGTCCTGAGGTGTAGTTCTGCATTTGCTATAATAATTAGCTCTGTGGCATCAGGCAGGTTACTTAACATCTCTTGTCCCCTGGCCTGTCAAGTGAGGGGGTCAGACCAAGTGATTCAGGATGTCTGATTCTGCCCTGACAGCCTATGACCTGAAATCCTGCACCCATCTTGTCCCAGGTGTGAGAAATGCTGTTACCAGACCTGGAGCATGTCTTTGGAGTTCTCCTTCCTCCTTCCCCTGAGGATGTGTTGCATCAGACACTCATCTCCTCCCTTCAGAAACCAGCAGGAGCTTCCCACTTCCTCAAAGAGCCAATATGGGAGCACAGGAATGAAAGTTACAACAAAGCTCAGGGTTCCCCCGAGCCCACAGCTGTGTCCCAGTCTGCCAGGAGAGATTCCAGCACTTAGATTAACCACTTCATTGTGCGCTTTAACCCTGGGCCTAAGTCATCAGACTAAAATTCGTGCAGCTTTGTTTGCTGATAATGGGCTTTGGGGCTTAGAGTGTTCATGAGGTTTGGTGGAATAGAACCAAAATATCTTTTGAGGAGCTTCTACCTCCCACCCAAGGGAGCACCCATGGCATGCAGATGGAATGATCCTGTCTGTGCTTAGTCCGTGCTCTTGAAAGACATAGGCTCTTGACACTTGTGAATCTCTTAGATTTCACAAGTGAGTACAGATTCTCCCTTCCATATGCATTCACTGGTTGGACTCCAGAAACACCCCAAGAAGAACATCTCAGACTGGCTGTCCCCTCCATATCTATTAGAAGCTTCCTAAGAGAAATTATGGTTCTGGATCTTTGCCTGAGAGGCCACCCAGGTGGTCTTCTGGACACCCTCCGGATACTCTCCCCTTGAATTAGGCCAGCCCAGAAGAGAACTGTGTATCTAGAGGTAATTTCAGTCCACACTCCCCCAATCTTTCCCTCTGTCCTTTTATGATTCCCTTACCAACTTTTATCTTGTATGAATATATAGTTTGTAAGCTAACTTAGAAAAAAAAGGCAAAGTATAAATATATACCTTTCTGGCCAAGATTCTCCCTGGCACTTTTATTTTTTTTCCAGGAGGAGTTCTCAAATAATTGGCCCTCAGTGAGATCCTGTCTTACACTTCTATGACCCCAAGTAGAACCATAATCCTCCTCTTTGTGACTTGAGGAGACCATTGAGCCAGCAGAAATCTGCCCTTTCAGGAACACAAAGATGATGGCTTTGGAGTAAAAGGTATTTTTAAAAATTCTGGTAAAAGCTTCTAACATAAAATTTACTATCTTAACCATTTTTAACCATCCAGTACAGTAGGGACAAGTATATTCACATTGTTGTACAGCAGATTTCTAGAACTATTTCATCTTGCAAAACTGAAACTCTGTACCCACTGAAGACCAACTCCCTTTTCCCTCTTCTTCTAGCCCCTGGCAACCACCATATCATTGATTTTTAAAGAGGGCTGATGGCCGCACAAGTATTCATTATACTACTCTTTCAATGACTAATAATAGATTAAAAACAAAAAGTAAAAGGTTAGTCTATGGAAAAAAGGCATCATCTGAGATAGATTGAGGAAGAAAAATATAGCTGAAGACATGACAGTTGAGAAATCTGAACAGGAGAAACAACTTTGATGTTCATTTCTCTTCTTTCCTTGGAATCCCCTTTATACTCCCCTCAGTGGGAAGTAGGAGAGGGACCTCAAGGCCAAAGCCAAATTATTTTCCATGTCTTGGCCAACTTCCCTGGTGCATGTGAAGGAAGGATGTAGGACAGAAATCAGAGCCAGGCAAGCAAGTTCATGCCACTGCACTGGAAAAAAGGTGTGCTAAAAGATCCTGGAGGATCTTTGGACCTTGTGGGGACACTGTAGCTGGAGCCAAGCAGGGCAGAGAGTGGACGACATAGGGCTTCAGAGTGTTAAGAGGCCAACAAAAGGCTTCTTTGATGTTTGGATATTTATCTACATTCTTATCATCATGCTAAATGAAGAAATCACTTTCCAAGCCCTTTGGAAGCCTAGAACCTTCCTTGTGGCATGAAGCATTATCTGGAGACAGAGTCACAGTCTCTGCCTCTCTGATGGCAGGCTGGTCCATAATTCCTTGCCTCCACTCACACTGTCTTATGCAGAGCCCTCCCTGCTTGATGTACTATTCATTCTTCAACAACCAGGCCAAATGCCACCTTCTCTATGAAGTATAGCAGATTTCTCCAGGCAAAGTTAAGTCATTCATTTTCCTGTCCTGCCATAGTACTCTAGTCATATCACATATCACTGTTTTCATGTTCTATTCCCCTATCAGACCCTGAGCTCCCCAACAGCTATTTACTTTTGTTTTTTCCTATGCCCAAGCCTATTGTTGGTACATAATAGGTGTTGGGTATATGCTGAATGAATGAAACTCCAAAGGCAGAGAAGTTCAGCATCTGGAGGATGCAGAGGGTGAGGGTTGTGATAGTCCATTAGCCCACACCTTAATGTGCCTGCTATTCACCTGGGACTTTGTTAAATGCACATTAAAAATCAGAAGGTCATAGAAGGGGCTGGAGAGCCTGTACTTCCAACAGGCTCTCAGGAGATGCTGATGCTGCTGGTCTGTAGACCACACTCTGAGTGCAAAGGCCTACCAGAGACTGGCTTTCGGATTTGCTGAGAAGTCACCAAGACAGGCTGCAGGAACACCTGAGAAGGAAAGGAATCAGTAGGATTCTTTTCCATAAGTGACAAGAGCTCTTTGAGGGTGGTGGGTGAGCCAGCAGGAAAACCAACAAACACACCATCATCCCTTGAGCAGCTCCAGGATCAAGAGGAAAATAGTGAACAGAAAATACTTATCAAGATCTTTTCAGAAGAAACAATCCCCAACCTCAGCCACAGGGTTTGGGACACCCAATCACATAAAACACAGTATGATTCAACCTTCATTCTTCCAATGTGAAACCCATCTAATATTGCTCCAATTCATATGTCTTATGGAGATTCAAGTGTCTGCAAGGGCACTGAAAACACCTGGGACTAGACATTCAGGGCTAACTAGATGTTCAGATATGCTATAAATAGCAGGCATTCGATGCTGGAAACAAGATAAAAATCTGAGAGCCCTGGCTCAGCAAACCCTTAAAACACTGCAAAGTTTTCACTGTAGTTTGGAATGTCACATGATAGCACATTGGTCTCAAGAATGCCATATGGAGCATCATTCTGTTACTATTTATCCCCAACTCTGTGTGTTATCTCTTAGGCTTCAGTTTCTAAATGGACGGATGAGAGGTCTATGGTACTTTCTAGCCCTAAGAGTTTATGATTCTGTGCCTGTTTTCAGACTCAGAAAAGCTGCCTTGCCCCTCAATGGATTTAATCACATTCTCTCTTATGCCAAACAGGGATGAATCGCCATAGTGGCAGCCAAATCTGGCACCAGAAAATAGCCAGTGAAGACAAATCCAAATGCAGTAGCAAGATTCTGAGAAGCCTTTAGGAAATTTCATCATCAACTTTGCAGAAGTCAGGAAAGATTAAAGTTAATGAATCTTACCTGCCAAGTGCCTTGGCCTCTGGTGGCAGCCAGCAGAGTTGTTCTGCTTGGAGGAGCTGGTGTTTTATAGCTTCCACCAAGAATTTATTTCTGGGAAAGGCCCAGAAGGAAAGATTTTGAGGGGCTAATGTGGCTAGGAGGAGACATTCAGGTTCAGCAGGAAACACCCTATGACTCCAGGCAAATGCACAAGGAAACTGCGGTGATTGGTTGATGCAATATCACTGACTGAGTAAAGTAGAACCCCTTCTTCTCATTTTCAAGGTTAAATTCATGGTCTGCTGTAGTCATGGACTCCAAACTCTGAGCATGCTTGTTCCTCTTAAGCCCTTTGTGGGATCTTAAAATTAGGAACAATTGAATGGCTCTCTTCCCCATTCATTTATTCACTGCCCTTTGATCATTCCCTTACTTTTCATCCTACTTTGTAGGAGCAGATAGATTTGTCTTTTTGGATTTAAAGCCATTTTAAAATGCTGACTGTTTTTTTGTTTTGTTTTGTTTTGTTTTGTTTTGTTTTGGTTTTTTTTGTCAAAATTTCAAACTACTGTCCCCTTTTTGGCCACCAAAGAGGTGAGAACTCTGGACTTGTTGCCAGAGTGGTAGATTAAGTCCCTGCTTCTGTCATATGGTTCTGGGCAAGTCATTCCATCTTCTGGTATGTCACATTCTCTAGTTACAAAATTTATAGTTGGTTTGGATGATTATTATGAGTCTATGACTTCATGTCTTCTATAGTGTGGCCCATTAAAAAATACCAATTATCTGAGATTCAAAGCCCAAATATGATATTATATACTACCCCTACCCCCAATGAGTTTGAAATTTCAAGTTCATTAGATCCACACAAGAAGGAAACAGGAAGGTTCGGAGAAAATAAAATTTCATCCCATTGTAGTTTACAGACAGACAATTTAAAACATAAGCTCTTTATGAAATTATACCTTGGGTTGAAACTACTTTGGGAGACTGTCAGAAATTCAACAACCAAACATCAAATCCCTGGGTTTGCCTTCCAAAAACTGATATCCCTTTTCTCCAGCTGATGGAGTGTAGTCAAAAGCTGCTTCTCTTGTGATTTGCCCAGGCAAATGAACTGGGCATCTCAGAAAAAGGCAGCTGTCCAGGAAACATGAGTGAGGGACGTCAGCCTCTTCTTGTTTTCTTTGAAAGACATTTCTGCTTCTCAGCCAAGCATTGCTTTCTTTTTCTTTTCTTTTTCTTTTTCTTTTTCTTTTTCTTTTTCTTTTTCTTTCTTTCTTTTTTTTCTTGACCTTTCTCTGAACTTTGGAACATGCTTCTTAAGGCTCTCACTTCTGAGTTTTATGCTTTACGGGTTAACAAAGCTGTGTCTTTGGATGAATCCTGACCTAGTTGGTTTTAATTGATTCGAGATGGAACTTTCTTCTAGAAAACCTGTGGGATAACACCACTTTCCTATGTGCAATGTACAGTGAACTTCTGGAGTCAGGGTAATAGCAAAAGGCAGATTTGACTATCTCTGGGTCTTTTTTTTAAAGATATTATTTATTTATTCATGAAAGACACACAGAAAGAGGCAGAGACACAGGCAGAGGGAGAAGCAGGATCCCTGCATAGAGCCTGATGCAGGACTTGATCCCAGGACCCCAAGATCACAACCAAAGCCAAAGGCAGACACTCACCACCGAGCCACCTAGGCACCCCTCTCCCTAGGTCTTGATCATCTTATGACAAGATATGATATGTCCTAGGCCTGACCTTTTTTGTAATGGGCAAGTATGGGGCAGTGTCAGCTACAGACCACTATGGTCCTTCCTTTGTTTTTGGCACGAAGTATACCTGGATGCAGTCACAGTGGACATATAACTGGCCTGTGGCTAATTTGTGTTTTTAGAACTTAGCTGACATGTGATGACATATTTTCATGGACTTATCTCAATCTAGGTAAATCTGTTTAGCACAGTTAGTTATCTCCCTATTAGGGAATGGCAAACTGGACTGAGAAATGGAGACAGGAAGACAGGAAGTTTGGAAGAAAGCTAAAAAGGCCAACAGATTCTCTTATATAAGCACAGAGATTCCAAGGTATTTTAGTAATAGAGCAGTAGCAGTTGGGAAACGAAGATACAGTCCATCTGACCTCAGACATAGTTGGCTCTCCTTTATCACCTTCCAGAATTAGAATTCTGTTTTGTTTTTTTCTTTTTAAAGATTTTATTTATTTATTTATGAGAGACGTAGAGAGAAGGCAGAGACATAGGCATAGGGAGAAGCAGGCTCCCTGCAGGGACCCCAATGTGGGACTTGATGCTGGAACTCCAGGATCACATTCTGAGCTGAAGGCAGATGCTCAACTGCTGAGCTACCCAGGCATCCCCAGAATTAGAATTCTGCAAAATCTTTGGCTGACCAAAGGAACACTCATGGTCAGTGACAAAGTGGCCACTCTGTTTCTATGAGGTGATCATGGCCCTAACCCTGTCCCATGGCCTCCCCACATCCCTATGATTTCAGATACCACCTTCCTTGGAAGCCTAGCCAGTCCCTTCCTCAGCTGTCTGTTTGCACCCATCTCCCAGTGTCTTGGCTGTCACTCAGACCTGAGCAGGTTATTTTTTTTCTTTCTTGGCTAAAATGCATTTCCTTTTGTTATTTCTCAGAACACCAAACAGACTTCTTGTCCCCAGCATGGCTCTGTATGCCAATGTAAGTTTTTTTTTTTTAAGATTTATTTATTCATTTGAGAGAGAGAGAGCACAGAGAGGAGGAGTAGAAGGAGAGGGAGAGAGAGGATCTCAAGCAGACTCCCTGCTGAGTATAGAGCATGATGCAGGGCTCTATCTCATGACCCCACGATTATGACTTGAGCTGAAATCAAATCTTAACCGACTGAGCCACCTAGGCACCCCTCCATATGCCAATGTTTACCCTGTCTGTGCCTCATCCATTTGTTCTGCCTTAGAGAAGGAGGAACCCAGGTACTCTGGCTTAAGCTATCCTGGCTTCTAGAGTGGGGTGGAGATGATTAAGCTTCTCTGAATGCTGTCTCTGGGCAGCATGGGCCCTTGGGAGAGATGGCACATTGTCAGGCAGCCCCCTTCAGAGCAAGGAGGGATTTGTGGAAGATAAAAATGTCTGGGATAATTTGTGTGCATCCCTTAGCAGGCTCCATTGTCTCTCTAAGTATTTTGTAGTGGAGGATTCATTGGATTTTTGGTGGTTTCTGAGATTGACATAATATAAGGGTTCTGAATGGCAAACTTAGTATCAATGAGTTTTTCTAACTAGTCACAGCATGCTGAGAACTGAAGGGCTGGGTCTTGTTCAGGGCCTTCCCAGGAATCTGGTGGTGTGGGAAGAATCTTGTCCCTTCTTTCTCTTCATCAAATGAAAATCCTTTTTTTCTTTTTCTGTCAAGGCCATTCTCCTATTTCCCACTAGTGTTCTATCTCTCCTTCCTTGCTCTTAATCTCTTGTCTTCTTGGATATTCATTGAGCACCTGGCCTTATGAATGTCTCAGTGTTTTTTTTTTCTCTTCTTACTCTCAATCTTCTCTCTTCTTAGCTTACAAATTATGAATTTTGGTAGGTTTGCTTCAGATGAAAAAGGCATCAGATCTGTTCCCTGCCTTGGCAGTGTAATGTAGGGATAAGGCTAAGAGAAACAATAGATCTAAGAGTTCAGCCAACTCAGTATGCCCCCAAATAAATCCAGTATGGTTGGGGTAGAGATGGGGAGATAAGCTAACTGCCATATATGTCATGAATAAACTCAGGATCAGGGCAGCCTGGGTGGCTCAGTGTTTTAGCACCACCTTCAGCCCAGGGCATGATCCTGGAGACTCGGGATCGAATCCCTCGTCGGGCTCCCTGCATGGAGCCTGCTTCTCCCTCTGCCTGTGTCTTTGCCTCTCTCTCTCTCTCTGTGTGTGTGTGTGTGTGTGTGTGTGTTCTCTCATGAATAAATAAATAAAATCTTTAAAAAAATAAACTCAGGATTTTCAACAAAAGCAACCTTAAATTATTATCACTGTTTTGTGAGGAGTCTGTTGAGGTATGCTTTGTGGTAAATCCACAGAGAAAATATCACTCAATAAGTTCTCCCTGTTGCTCAAGCAAACATGCGTATGAACATGCACACACATACACGAAACATGAAGGAACAAGCAGAAAAGTAAGGAGCGCTGGAGTAAGACTCAGCAAGCCAGGTTCTAGTCTTAGCTTGTTGACCTTGGGGAAGTCACTCTTCATTTGCAGGCCTCAGTTTACTTACCTGAAAAGAGAGGTGGATCCACTCAATAACTGGTGCTTTCTGATGGCTCTGATGTTTAGCATTCCGTTATCAGATCCAGTAGGTCTTGGTACCAGTTTGCTTCTGCCCCTTTGTACAATCCTGTACAAGTCCCAGATCCTCAGGTTCTCTTTGCACAAATAGGGGGCCAGAATCCTATATTATTTACTTTCAGGGTCAGCTGGGAGGGGGTTTTCTTTAGTTCTGAGAAACAATCGAAATAAAAGAATGAGAGGAATCTTGTTGAGAAAGGGTAAGAAAATTTCTGCTGGGAATGTGGTCATTCTCTCAGTCACCCAAGTTAGAAACCAGAGAGTCCTAGGTGTTTTTACTCTTCTCCTCCTCTTTCGGTTCTCCTCTCCCTCCTCCTCCTTCTTTCCCTACTTCTCTTTCTCCTCCTCCTCCTTTTCTTTCTTTTTCTCTTCCTTCTGTCTCACATCTTGGTCACCAACTCTTATCCATTTGTCCTTCATAAATTTCTTGCATCTGTCACTTCCTTGCCTTCCTCACATTCTGGTTCTGCTCTGAATTACCTGTTTTGCTCCAGTGTCACACCTTCTCACTGGTCTCCGTGCCACCACTTCTCTCCATCCCAGCCCTCCTCTACACTAAAGTTTTCACCACAGAACTCCCACTACACAAAGGACAAAGTCTCAGGTTTTAGCCAAGTTTCTATCCTGCCTCCCCTTCTATCTTTCTCAGCCCATCACACATCACTCCTCTACCTAGGTTCTCCATTCCAACCAAACTCACCTACTCCTTTTCTCCAACATGCTAGGCACATTCC